TGGACACCTGACACCTGATAATATTATCACCTCTATACATTTTTGTTATTAGTGTTCCGGACAGCTAATTGAAGAAAAAAACAACACATGAGATAATGATGAAGCTAATAGCATTTACAAGTGATCCATTGGGAATCCGTTACTTCCTAGAAACATGTTTTTATGATGCTGGATAAGAATACTCTTTTTTCTAGGAAATGTATCCTCAAATTTCGAGCAATCTAGATCTCATAGCTATTTCAAATCTGCATCATAGTCGAAAATGGTTTAGCTTCAAAAACGCTTCAAACGGAAATTGAACTTCCGGTGAGCTAGAAACCGAGTTGAAAGAACGGATCTTCAAATATTCCGGAAACTCTTATACCTCCCTGACATCAGCAATACTAACTTTTCAACCAAATTTCTAAAGAGATTAAAATCAACCTCATCATTAAACTTCTCACCCCCATGTCAACATTACTCTGGGGGTAATTAGGAACAAGACGAATCACACCCACAGATCGAAATGCCAGATAATTCAGTGGCGCGCACGCCTTCGTGACAAAACACTTTCCGAGGCAATAGTGTCTTCTCTTAATTAGGTATCCATAGATAGTTCAGAGGTTTATTATCCCTCTTCTCAACTCTCTCAACCCTGACCCTCAGACTCTACGGCTTAGAGATTCAAATGATGAACACTTGTAACGGCCCGAAAATCCGGAATAGGAAAGAATATAAGACGGTCGTTGTCCGGTCTAATCGTTTAATTATAACACTGGTGTCACCGGTGAGTTACATAGAAGGACCACCACCCCGATAACTCGGTGCCGCCGCCTGCTAATTATAAGCAGATTTGTGTGCGTGTATGTGCACAAACGTACGATGGACAGTTAATACAGTCTCGGTTACAGACAGGTGTTGACCCCATATCCGCACCCACATTTTGAAGCATTACAAATAAAGAGATCGCCTTCAAAAGGTGGTACAACAATATCAGTTTCGCCGAAAAGGAGATAACGGCGTCTTGGAGTAAAGTAGATCAACAACTGAGCAATCATTTACTTCGCACCACTCCATCTTCTCGGAGCCTTTCGCTTCTGTTACGAAACCACTTGTAATCGAGCCCAACCTCAATCTCCCCACTTTCTAGTACACTGCGGTTAATATTTGCGCCGCATTTTAAAGCAATTTCCTTCTTTAAGGGCATATGTTTTCTCAAATTAATGTGTTCTCATTTGCATTTTTGCTGCTGGCGGTGGGGTCGCATCATGTTCAACATGCTTGTTGTACATGCTCATGTCCGGCTGGTGTTGATGATGTCCTTTTGGTTTTTAATAGATCGACTTACAACGTTTTGAATTCCGATGTATTTTGGTGATTTGCGTCGTGCAGATGGGCGATTCCTGTTCTGAAACATAAATTTTTAAGTATTTTCTTTGAAAAAAATAAGCAAAACTGTTGAAAAACGGTTTTGTAATGCACTTGAGTCATTTTCGTATCGAGACCCGCTAAATTTTTTCTCTGTGCACCTTTGAACTACAGTACTCTCGATTTTTTTTTGAACGCTAAAAACGTTTCTCAAAAAAAAACTTTCTGTGATGACGTTCGAAAAAGTCAAAAGATCTGTTATCTATGTCGGAAGTACATCTATTACCCAAAATGCGTATTTTATGCTTCCAAAAAAACGAATAACTACCGGAAACACGTATTTCTGCAAGAGCGAATCCTGTCGCAACTGCGTCAAAGGACACGATAATCAAAGCAGCTCTTCCGGTGTTTCAGTGTGACTTCAATGACATCTACATCAGTTTTTCAGATCGCCCTGCTGCAAAATGAACTCTGACTCCTAAAGTCTACAAGTTAGGTCTTACTGTAGTAGTTTGATCGGCCAGCAAGTTCGGTGCCATTCGCGCGAACGATATATGCTCACTTTCCCATCCCACTCTGTCAAGCGTCGATAATCTGAGACAAACATATCGTTAACACGGATTGTCAAGTGTTTGAACATTTCACTCCATTCTCCCATCGTGTACAGGAAACATACACAAAACACACAGACACAGTTTTTCGCGGCTCCGACATCATTCGTTTTCGAATTTTTAGAGAACCGAGAGCGCACTACGGCAATATTACTACAATAAGTTTGTTATGTCCCAGAGTTTTTTTTAGGTGAGTAGAAGTACCTATTTCCATGAATACTCAATTTTATTGCCGTCACCGTAATATCGTCCCGCGTATCATTCTTATCTCTTCTTACACAGAATCAAGATGTTAACAGTATTAGTGTTACTGTTCTGTCATTGCCCATCGTTATCCCCCCCCCCCCTCCGTAGGACCACCATTATCTGTTCAATCCTCGTCTTATTACAAGACATAAATTCCCCGTAGACCCTGTCTTCAGAATATAAAGATGTGAATCTTATCGAGTCTCTGAAAAAAGAACGACACCTGGCCGTTTTGGAGTTCACGACCTCTTTATGAAGACACGTGTTGATGCATTAGGGTGATGGATCTATTGGTAGGGGGAATGTGTGACATTAGGTACTCATAATATTATTACTGTATAGATAATCTAGTGTCAAGAATTGCTCACAATGGATTAGATTTCTATACGTGGATACCATAAGATGATGACCTATAAGTCTCAACTTATACAGTATGCAATGGTATGGTATCTCTAGATTATAGGGAACAAGAAAATGAAGACATACATCAGAGTTTCTAAATTTAAAAACATGTTATTATTCTTGGTTTTTGGATATATCCTGAAATCGACATTCTCAAAAAATAGATGAAACATCCAAATTAGATAAAATGCGATTCTAGAATTTCTATTAACTAAATACACTAAACGACCACGGAGAACTTTTTTTTAACCCTAACGGCTTCCTTTAATTACTCAACACAGCAGTACCCCTTCAATCACACAACTACCGTAATCCAAACCACTTTTTCTTCTTCTTCTACTTCTTTCAACCGCTCCATCTATGTAATTCCTTCTGGTTTTACAAAAAAAAAACACCGCTCTTCAGAGAGAAGCAAGTAGGACTAGAAGCCGTTTTCGAAAACCCATTAACCGGCGCTGCTCCCCAGAAGAACTGAACCCCTTCTATCATTCTTACTCTTCTTCTGGTGATGCTCCTCATAAATTGTTCCGACCTCATGTCTACACACTCTTCCTGTCCGTCCCCCCTCCGGCGGCCGCCACCAAGTCCCGCCCCTTTTTTAGACTCCTCCCCTATGCTTCCTCATCATCCTCATCATTGTTTGACATCAATCTACACCAATTTGGTGAAGCATTTCGGCTCCTACTCCAAACCTTCGTCCCTATGTTAAGTCATTTTTATGTTACTATGTGTTGTTGTGACATGATTTCTACTGTCTGTTTCATGCTGTAATAACTAAACAAGGGGCCGAATGACCCAAAGAGACATGTTAACACAAAAAATGACACACAATAGTAAATGCATTACACCGTTTACCTGGTGTCTTCAACTTCTTCTTCTTCTTCTTTTTCTTCTTCTTCTTCATCATCATCATCTTCTTCATTTGGCCACTCTCGGTTGGCGCCTACACTTCTTTACAACACCTGTCCTCCCACATCTTCGGACAACAGAGAGAATACATGCCATTTTAAACTTCTATTCTCTTTGATGCCAACAAAAAAACGACACAACCGTTCTGACCATTACCTAATTACTCTCTACTCTTCTTCTTCTTTGAATGTTTCATTCTTGAGGTTCGCGCATCAGCTTCTTCTTTGTCTGTAAGCATCTTCTGAAAGCATAAACGTCTTTGTGTTTTTCGTTCGGGTCACTTGTTTCACTGATAGTCTTTCTCATTTTTTCCTCTTGTAAAGTGGACACATGTCCTCCGAATACAGTATACCGGGGGTGCAGGTGGCAAAAGTTTCAAAAAGTTTCAGAACGGTCCTGAATATTAGGGCAATTTTACTTACCGTAGTTCCTTTTATAGAAGCCCACCTAAACCGTCAACTTTGAGCTCAATTATCTCGATTCCTGTAAAAGATATTTAAAAGTTGTCAACTGATAAATTATTGGTTTTATTATGATAAAAAATTTATTAGTTGACAATTTTCTGATATCTCTTATGGAAATTGAGATATTTGAGATCAAAGTTGATGATCAGGGGAGGGGGGCTGCTATTAGAGGAAATACGGTACCTCTAAAATTCTTCCCAATGCATTCTTAAATTTCACTAAAGTTTCTGGATTCCATTTCCAGCCACACTTTTGATCTTGTTGCAGCAAGTTTACAACCATATTCTTCCCTCTTGTTTGCTCAACATCTTCCGTCAGAATCCTAATTTCCAAGATTCTCCCTTCTAAACCAAATTTGACATGTCTCCTATCTTCTTTCTATATCTTACTAGATTGGAACATTTACTAATTGGCCTTATCAATTTCTCTCTCATTTTTCCTAACCTCTTCATCAATTTGTTTCCGTTCAATTCTACAAATGCTACCTCCTATCCGTTTCCGAAAAAGGAGAGATTCGGTTTCCATTTCCCCTGATTCTTCCCCCAGTCAGTCATTTATTATCTTTAACTAAAAATCTACTCGTGTTCACACATGTTAAATTTTTTTGTAATTTATTCAGACGCATGTTCATCTTCCTCGCCCTTTCAACTCTCCTCCAGGCCCCGCCCCTTCAGTCTATTGGTAGAGGGGCGGAGCTTAGGAGCGAGAGAGACACGGCCCGTCCGCTGCCGGCGGGCATCTGCAGAGAAGATCGAGATTGCTCAACAAGTTGTTGAACATAAGGTCCCCCCCCATCTTTCTTTTTCTCAAATTATCAATCACAATTATTTTTTATCGTGTTCGTTCTTTTCACTCCAACACTGTTATCACTCTTCTGACTCCTCCCTTCTGCTCCGTTTTGTCGTCGCCTCATCCGAAAAAAAACTGCTGGAATTAAAATTGATAACCATTCAGACCGCATACTCTATAATCGTGTTCAACAACAATCAACAATTCGGAGAGATCATCTAATTACCTCGCAATGATGCCTATCGTCGGTCAGGTTAGTTTGGGATCTTTACTCATGGGGGTCTAGAGTTCAACTTTCTGAAATTCGAGTATCAAAAAGAAGAAAACTCTACATATTCCCAATCTTGATGTCCTAATTAAATTCTTCCTTTAAACTCCTGTTTCTTCTTTCAGTGCAAACTTGAAGTATTAAAAGTCGAAGAACCCTCAACACCATCAACAACAACTCCGGCTCCACCCTCTGCTGATGCACTTCGAGGAATCATCCCATCCAATATTTTAAGTCAATTCCCACTTCATCCAGCCGCCATGGCTCAATTCCTCTCCGCTCAAGCTGCAGCTGCTCAACAGCCAAATCTAGTATTCCCAGGCGTTCCAATGTTCCCACCTGGAATCCCAGCAGATTTTAAACCAGAACTTTTGATGGCTGCTGGCGGTCCAGGACCAATGCCATTCATGTTTGGAGATGCTCATCGTCTGTACCATCCATATGGGTTGGATGGAATGAAGAAAAGGAATGCGACTCGGGAAGCAACAGCACCATTGAAAGATTGGCTTCATGCGCATCGTAAGAATCCGTATCCATCAAAAAATGACAAACTGATGCTGGCAGTTGGAACTGGAATGACGTTAACGCAGGTATGTATTCTAAGCAATCTCATATCCCTGCAACCGTAATCCCCGTTATTCAATGTTTGCTCATTATATTAGTGTCATGGATTGATTCATTTCTCACTAGATGATAGTTTTAGTAGTACTCCTGGTAGTAGACAGTCCTCTCCCGCAGTGTTATTGTAACATTAGCCACCTCTGTATGTATCATCATTTTCTCACTTTTTTCTGACCGATGCCACCAAAAAAGGGCACGAAGAGGAGAAAAAAGATGTAAAAGACTAGATAAGCGATGATGACACCTCTCCCGCTTAATTAATGTGTTTCTTGAGTGTGTATATAGACAATACGAGAAATGTTTCAAACCCCAAATGCAACAGAATTACTTGTATATGTTTGATCTAACCTTGGCGCCAAAAATTAGATGTACTTGGTATTTGAAAAGTTAAAAGAAGAGAATTCTGATTTCAGGTGTCCACTTGGTTTGCCAACGCTCGACGACGACTGAAGAAGGAGAACAAGATGACGTGGTCCCCACAGAACAGAAGAGGAGATGGATGTGATGATGATGAGGACGAGGATGATGATGATATGAACCGTCCATCCAGCTCCACCTCTATCAATTCTGAAAGGAAAGGAGAATCGCTCTTCGGAAAACCTCATCTGGCATCTCCAACGCCTTCAGGAGGATCTGGGGGATCAGATGATCTTCAGACGCCGAAGAAGGAGCAGAACTCTCCAATCCCAGATGATTCGGAATCGCCAAAAAGAAAACCAAAGATGTGGTCCATTGCCGATGTCACCACTTCAGATGACGATTCATCGAAAAAGGTGAGACATTCGGAATTGTATAGATTTTATAGTTTCACACAAAAACCTTATGGACTTAAAAACTACGGCGCCCCGGGGTATATGTTTAGTGTGAGGAACAAATAAAGAGACTCCTTCTTCTCGCCTTGTTCTGCACACGGGTTTACTGAGATGTAAACTAGTATGAATCATTTTTGCGAAGGGAAAGAGCAAACTTATGTGTGAGGTGTGAAGCCGACAGAAATATGCCGCTTTAACAATAAACACGTTGTGATGATGAGGATGATGAGGAGGAAGATGGAATGGTTTTATACATTTTCTGAAAGTACAATAGAGCAATAAAAATAGGTAGTATTGTTATACTACAAAGGGACTTAAAGTTTTAGAAAACAAATCATATCTACAAGATATATTTTCAAATTTTTTCAGGACTCGCCACCATCTTCCGACGAGAATATGACATCAAATAGCCTTCTGATCCAGTCGGCGATGAAGAAACAAATGGAAATGTTCTCTCGGATAGATCCCAACATCTTCCGCATGAATCCATTCATGTTTCAATTGATAGCCCAACAAGCAGCACAGAGCCAACAGATTTCTCTTCTGCCATCTCAGACGACGCCTCCAAATGAAGCAGGTGAGCAGGTGAAGGTGAGCAGGTACTAATACTTCTTTTCCTTCTTTTTTTCAAAAATGACATGCTGTCTGTATAAAGTTTCATTATTTTGTTATCTCGGGAATTTCTCTGATTGACAGCCTATTGAACACCGTGCGTGCTTGTACATGTACAAGAAAATTCGGAACATAATCCGCTTAATTTTTTTGTTCACTTCAATTCACAAAAAGTTGTTATCCGTGACGTTTTCCTGATAGTGAGGGGCAAAGTTGTCTATCTATTTCCTAGCAGCTCCTTCTGTTCTATGGGGCCTAAATTTTTATGTACCAGAATCCTAGGCCTTGAACCTTTAGTAACTTTGTTCGAAACCCCCAAAAAGTGGTTCGAGAGGCTTAAGAAGTGTCATTGACCCCACACGGATTAGTATGTGCTCCTTTTCGTGTTCTTTTTCTTTTCTTCCGGGCGAAAAAAAGAAATGAGAGGGGACCTGCTCCTAAAAAGTGAAGAGCCTCCATCCTCAGAATGATAAATGGGCGATTTGATCCGTTCGTATAGTTGATGGGAAACATTTTCAATTTTTTCAAGTGCTCTTTTGTGAAGATGAACATCTCGTTATGAAATATTAGGTCTACGAGTTCTGAAGAGGTCTAGGGAGCTTGTTTTACAAAATTTTGAAAATATTGTTTTAGACAAAATTCAAACAAAAATTTATTTCCAGGTCTGAATTCGCAAGCGGAGACGTCGACACCATCCCCACTGTCTTCCCCAACGTCATCTCCTCGGTCCCACCAAGAGTAGAGACTCCAGCTTATTGAGCTCCTCCGGATTCCTTAATTTTATTAGCACATAACGGGTTCCAATTGTCCAGATAAAATGATAATATTTTGGTCTCTCAATTCGTTTTCGCTTCCCATCGCTTTTCCAGAAATGTACAGTATTTTTCTTTTCACCCATATTCTCATCCCATCAACACTTCATTCGGTTACTGTAGTTAGGCTCTTCACATTATTTTTCTTTCCCACATTCGTTTTCCAAGTTTTATACGAACTTCCATGACTCTTCTTCTTCTTCTTCTTTCCATTCCTTATTTTTCTCTGTTTACTGTAATTTCTTTTTCACAGGATTCATCTAGTTTTAAATGAGCTTATATGATCGGTTCTATTTTTTTTATTTCCCGCCAATAATTGGAAGTACTTTAGTTTTTTTCTTTGCTTTTCTCATCTTCGCTTTCGAAATCTCTCGTTCTTTTTGACAATTTCCCATCCATCTCATTTCGTTTCTGACAGTTTTTTAAACCTTATTTTCTCACACCGAGACAGTGCATGTTGCATAATTTAGAAGAAAAAGAATAAAGAATTTTAAAATAAACTCGAACAACTTTTGCCGCTTCAACGAAATTCAAGAAGGGAAAGAACAACTTACAATTAGAAAGACACTTATTAGATTTAAGAAAATTTTGGAAGTCTATCGTTAACACATTGAATTCCAGATTCTATTTAACCTTTATAAAAGGAAGTATTGACTCCAATTGTATAGATCATTAAACTCCGTTTAAAAAATTATGAAGAACCAGCAAGCTGGTGCGCCTTCGGCGCGAATCGATCTAATTTTTTTACTGATTCGTGGCTCAGCTCCTCAATTATTTTTAAAGGGTCACGTAAATTTATATTCATTTTTCAAGCTTTTAAAAAAATTACAGAGTGACACCGGGACGGACAGACGCCTCTAGCGTTTTATTTATAAGGAAGATTTGCTCAAAGTATATAAAATATTTATTCATTAATGGTAACGGGATTTTCCAGAAGTTTGTCTGATATAGTAGAATTGCACTCTAATTGTCAACTTTGAGCCAATTCTGTACTTGATCCGATTCTCGGAATCTGTGTATTACAAATTTAGTTGGGATAAATGTGCTATCTCAATTCCTATAAAAGATAACAAAAATGTGCCAACTAACAAAGCCTTTCTGATACTACAATGTTTCTGTTGACAACTTTTTTCATATCTTCAACAGGAACCGAGATAAAATAGCTCAAAGTTGACGGTTTGGTTGGCCTTCTAATAGATGAATTACGGTATCTGTTTTCCTACTTGAAAGCTGGAATTTCGTCTTAAAAGTAAACTTCCAATCTTGAAAATCGGTCGTTTTGCTTTCGGTTTCTGATATCTGCCTGGCTTTTTTAATTCTAATTTTTTTTCCGAGTTGGAGTAATTGTTTCGATGCTAGATTTCCAATTTTCATAATTTCTAAAACCCAGATTCCTCGAATCCTATGCGGAACTCATGTGTGGTTTGCTGTTTTCAACCCAAAAACGAGCAGTATTTCTTGTCAAATGAAGAATCTAGAGTAAAAAAAAAACACGGAGCTTCTTCATTCATTACACCAAAAAAATCTTTGAAAACAAGCAGAAATACATGTGTGCAATTTTTTTCTCTATTTCTTTCGACCCATGTAAACGCCTAATTGAAAATGAGACACGACCCCCGCCGATCGACGACGACATCTTCTAAATAAACAAAACGAATGCTCTCCACGTCTCCACGTTTACTTCACGCATTCACACGACGCCGTCTTACAGAAAGGAAAAGAAATAGGGATTCGAAGAAGTGGGAGTTGAACTGATTGACCGTAGAAGATGCGATTTCATTGGAGGTCCTGAAAGAGGCTTCCGTAAAATCGAGAAAGCAAAAAAGAAAGTACAGTAAATTCAACTACTAATAGAACGCCCAAACCGTTTACTTTGAGCTTAATTATCTCGATTCCTGTGAAAGATATCAAAAATGTGTCAACTGATAAATTATTGGCAATATAATGATGAATATTTTGCTAGTTAACAACTTTTTGATATCTTCTACAGAATGCAAGATAAATTGGCTTAAACTTGACGTTTTGGGTAGTTTTCTCTTCGAGGAAATACGGTGGTGCAGTATAAGATGTTGTTTAGGATAGAGAAGAAGTGATTAATAGTTTTTTTTTCAAGTTTTAGTTTTGAACACAAAGATTCATAACTTCTCAAATTTTGAAATGGTTTGAAATTCAACTATTAACTATGGATTTCGATAATCTTGAATGCTCCAAATTACGCCAGGCACAAGCTTTGAATGAAACCAGATCTCACAAACTTTAAATTTTCCGGTGAACCATAGAAAATTCGATTTTACTTGGATCTTGCTACGATAACGATATCAGGTTATCCTCAAATCTACAAACTCTGGATTCCACGGTTTTCAAGTTCCATGAGCCAATATGAAATCGGAGAAGTATAATGATTTTGAAAGTAATTTGTAATTTTGTAATTTATTTATTTTGAGTGTTATAAAGTCCTCTAAATTTTAGATCTTCACAATCATAGAGATTGGAATCGTAGATTCAAATTCAACGAATTCAGAGCGTAAGGATAAAAAAAAAATAGATTCCGGAGTCAGAATCTTGGGTAGTTTTAAATCCCTAAACATTGTGATGCGAGAATTTCGAAAATTAAGATACCTAGGTTTTCATGATTGTTCATCTCTTGCAACGATGTGTCTGGAAAATTTGATCGCGATTAAATTAGTCTTTCCTTTTCAAGTTCTAGAATTCCTCAGCTGCGACCTTCTTCTTATTTTCTTTTCTCGAATGTTCTGAGTCTCCATTATTCACAACTATACAACTCGAGTGCGCGTCTCAAGAATGAACGGTCACTATGACGACTTGTTTGCGCATTCGCATAAAATATTTTTTTGGCGAATCGCCATAGCCATTCTCTTCTCCTTTTTCCGTACTTTCCTTCTTTCGAACCAAAACTTCATCTATACAAAAAGTGATGTCTCACGTTGACAGATATGTAAGTCTTGCCGTATTTCCTTGGTAAAACTATCGAATTTTACAGGAACTCCAACAAAACGGAGTAGATTCTGGAAAGGAACGAAAGAGATCCAGAAGTCGCAAAGCTCAACCTAATCGATCGACAATTGACAATCGTCCACCATGGAATAATGGCTAGTTTGGAAGTTAGGTTACAAGAAACATAGTTGAATTGCAGACACCTATATCGAGGGATATGAAGATGTCGATGAGCATGGAAAGTTTAAAAAACGTGGAGGAGGAATGCCAAAGAGCAATGATAGACAGGCATGTTGAAATATTGATTTTTAAATGTTTTGGAAATTTGAATGAAGGTTTTGTCGCCTATCAATTCGATGGTCAAAAACAGGATTCTCTTTTTTTTTTCTTGAAAAAAGTCTCCCAAAGTTGCTAGAACGCCTTTCAGTTTTCCAGCCACCAAATCCTATTTTCCACTTTTTCCAGTACTAGGTGAGGGACTTTCTTAAATAGAAAAGATTTATTTGGTATTATTTCGGACACAAAACGGCACAGGCTGGTCCCTTCAATGCGTTGAGCATCCATCTGCACCACGGCCACGTATTGGTTTTGTGAATTGCAGATGCTAATGCTCGGCATGCTCGGGAGAGCAGTGGGTTCTCAATACTGTCACAAGCGAGTTTGAACATGATTTGAGCTTGATCGTCGGTTTCCGGAATAAGGATGATTCCATCGCAAACCAGGCACACAGCTTTCGGAACCCCTTCGTCTGATTGTCGGACGACAGAAGTTTTCTGGAAGGAATTTTGAAAAATTTTAAACTAACGTAAAATCTGAATCTTAATAATAATAATAAAATTGGGGTTTTAGTTGAAGTAAAGTTGAATCGTCAACTTTCAGCTCAATTATAGATTGCTGTAAAATATATCAAAATTCGTCAACAGATAAATTACTTATCATAACATCACCAAGGTTTTATTACCTGAAAATATTTTTGATATCTTTCACAGGAATCGAAATAATGGAGCTCAAAGTTGACGGTTTTGATGAGCTCCTATTGGGGGGAAATACCACAGGTAAAATGCGAACGGATCCGTTACGGACGCTCAGCGTTCGCGCGCGGTTGAAATAGGAACCGCGTACGGACCGCACGCGACCCGTTTTCAGAAAACCACAGCACATTATTCCGTATTTCTCCGTATTCTATCCGTTTGCGAACTCCGTATCCGATCCGCTTGCGAATGATGGA